GAAATTTGTGCTAGAAATTCGTCGTAAGCGTCGGACCACTCATCAGGCAGCGCCGCCATGAGACCGTGGATAAGTATGATTAATCATAAACAGAGATGTGACACCTTACTACCCCTAGCAGAATTCACGACGAGGATCGCCACACACACCTGGACCATCGCCACTACAACCCTATTGAGAGCCGCTTTACAGAAGCAGGTTGCCCATAAACTACATATCCCACAATGCATCTCAAATTTGACTTTTTTCTCAGAATTTGACTCTTTTTCTCAGAAGAAGTTTTTTTCTCAGAATTTGACTTATTTTATTCAAAATATTCATTTTTTCTTAGAATTTGCCTTTTTCTCAGAATTAGATTTTTTTTTAATCATTTTTGTAACATTCTCAGTGAAGAGACTTGCAAAGACTTGCCCTAGACTTCTGCTTTCAGACGTAGTTAATTATGAAGTTATTACCCTATCCGATAATAATCCAATGCAGAGGCAATAATTATTTTATATATATTAAATATTTATATATGTATTTTGATATCGTCTTAAAGTTACAACCGGCCCTTTGAGCGCAACCATAATGCTGATGTGGCCCGCGAAGAAATTGAGTTTGACAACCCTGCCCTAAATCAACGGAGGTCATTTTCTCGTAAACTTCTATACAATCTCACTTTTTCTGTGGTTCTGAGCTAGTTCAATACATGAGAGTAACACATGCGTCACTCCCGGGTGAAAATTACGTCCGCGCCCACTTTTGGGGGAAAACAACGCTGTCATTTGAACGGCGGTCGATACAAATTCTGAAGTTTTTGCCAATCCGATCAGAAATGTATTAACGTGGATTTTTGGATCTTCAAAGAGCGGCAAACGGTTACGATGACCAGACAGGCAAACAATTACATAAAATCATTGGAAATCGACGATCGGGCTCGATATATGGTTAAATTAAAATCAGTAGGCGAGGCCGTCATTTCGCCGGCTGTTACGGCCCGTCCACACGGCGGCGTGCGTTGAAGCTTCAACGCTTCTGCCCATTCACTTTGAATGGGGTGACGTCACGCTTTGACGAACTGCATTGGCGTTGCTCGCTTCAAAAGTTGAGCAATGTTCTACTTTTGAAGCTTCGACGGAAGCGTCAGCCAATCAAATCATATGCCAGTACAAGCTCTAGCCAATCAGACCGCCTGCTTGTGTCTCCGGGGCGGGAGATTCATGTGATTGGTTGTTGGTCGAGTTTCAGACACGCCCACCGGCAAGCTTCAACGCACGCTGCCGTGTGGACGCTGCGTTACTCTCATGAGCGAGGCGGAAAATAATAGTTTTATCAGCCAAAAAGCTGCTGTGTCGTTTATTGCTCCTCAAACATTAAAACAAATCCAGAGTTACGTGTTTCTGAACTTCCTCTAAGAAGAAAGGATGGTAACAGAAGAGCTCTGTGGCTTCAGGCTTGATCGCCGTTCAAATGACAGCGTTGGTTTCCCCCAAAAGTGGGCGGGGCCGTAAAGTGTCGTAGATGTTACTCTCATCTGTGGACATCGATCGCCTATTGCTATATTTAACCATACATCGAGCCCGATTGTCGATTTTTAATGATTTAATGTAATTGTTTGCCTGTCTGGTCATCGTAATCGGGCTCTTTGAAGATCCAAAAATCCACGGTTTTCTTAAATTTCTGATCGGATTGGCAAAAACTTCAGAATTTGTATCGACCGCCGTTCAAATGACAGCTTTGTTTTCCCCCAAAAGTGGGCGGAGCTGTAATTTTTTGCCCGGAGGTGACGCATGTGTTACTCTCATGTATAAGACTCCCCTCACTCACCTGTGATGATTCACCTACATTGGTTCTCGTGTTAAACTTGACATTTGCACATATTGTGACTGAAAATAATAATATCAAGAGTCTCTTCTAGAAGTTTCTACATCTTATATATATATTAAGAACTTTTGATGAGACACCTGAGCTTCTATTTTATAAGCTGTGATATGAACACTATCAAATTCAACAAGAAACTCAACTGAGGTTTAAATCAAATGACAAGTCGAGTCATTTTCTCATTTCTCTGCTATCGGACTTTTCTATGGAACGAAGGGAGGAGGATATCGGGAGGTGTCGTCTGTTCTTCACTGATGTTTTTTTGGCGTTGTCGAGGATAGAAATAGTTGATTTTCTATGAAAAGAGTAAAAGATATCTCATAGACTTCAATGCAATCGGACCCTTTGAAATCAGTGGAATCTTCCCTCGTCGGCTTTTCAAAGGTTTAAGTTACTTTTGCGTTGACCTTACTTTAATACGACGATGAATCCTTCTTGATATAGATGTTAAATGAATCCTTTGAATGTAATGTATTATCTAAGAAGTGTTAACAGAGTTATAATAAGTCAGTTAATGTGGATACTTCCCGGTGGTTAGCAGTGTATACAGAAACTCTCACATTCCTCAGAATCGCTCGCTGAAAGATGAACCTCCAGCCGGCGCCACGCTTCACTTCTCAAGGTGGGGATCGGAAAAGAAAAGCCTGTTAAAATCTGTGAGTTTCTGAATCAGGTTTCCGTCTGCAGTCTTTCTACAATGAGAGGAAACATGCCGGACTGGAGTCAAAGACTTTCATCTCAATACTCACTTTTCAGGCTCTATTTTCCTTCTAGTACTTTTTACTTTGTTCCTGTGTATCACTTGATTCTTTGACCCTGCAGAATACAGAGTCATTCAAACTAGCTGCACCTTTACCAGCTTTGAGAACACTTTCATGATCAATCATTATAAAACATATCATATATATTATTCTGAAATGGACCAATCTGCACAATGACTACTTTTACTGTCGCTACTTTCACTATATTTAGATGAGAATACTTTTATACTTTCACTTGAGGAACATTTTGAATGCAGGACTTTTACTGTAACAGAGTATTCCTACACTCTGGTACTTCTACTTTTACTCAAGTACAAGATCTGAGTACTTCTACTTTTACTCAAGTACAAGATCTGAGTACTTCTACTTTTACTCAAGTACAAGATCTGAGTACTTCTACTTTTACTCAACTACAAGATCTGAGTACTTCTACTTTTACTAAGTACAAGATCTGTGTACTTCTACTTTTACTCAACTACAAGATCTGAGTACTTCTACTTTTACTCAACTACAAGATCTGAGTACTTCTACTTTTACTCAAGTACAAGATCTGAGTACTTCTACTTTTACTCAAGTACAAGATCTGAGTACTTCTACTTTTACTCAAGATCTGAGTACTTCTACTTTTACTCAAGAACAAGATCTGAGTACTTCTACTTTTACTCAAGTACAAGATCTGAGTACTTCTACTTTTACTAAGTACAAGATCTGTGTACTTCTTCCCTCTGGCTATGAATCAGTTTTGTCAAAAATATAAAATCAAACCAAGAAACATGAATTTAGATAATGAGCTTCTCTGGACTTGTAGCTGCACCTTGATTGGTTTCCGATGTGTCTTTTGTTATATGAAAAGGCAAACCAATATGCTTTGGTGTTTTAAAACAGTATTGTAAAAGCATGAATCAGTGTTCTGCTCATCGATGTCTTCATGTCTAATATTCACTTTAAATATGCACGTTTTTGAATTCAGACAATGAGTGTCTCTTATGAGCTTCCATGCTTATTCACGACCTGCTTCTTCTTTCTTTCTTTTTTGAGGGTGGAGACAAATGGCAGACCTGCATCGTGTCATAAAGGGGAGGGTCTTGCTGGCAGTATATGATTTTAGAGCAGCACGTTTTAAGTTCATATTGCATCTGACGCAAGCGATGGCAAGGCAGGAGGAGGAGGAGAGAGAGTGTGTGTGAGAGCGTGTGTGTGTGCGTGCGTGTGCGTGTGTGCGTGTGTGTGTGTGTGTGTGTG